CCCGAGTCTTAAGATAACAGGACACCACGCATGCCTGGTGCCCAGAAAATTTTATATTTCTTGTAGTGATACCTTGTAAGCATATTCTGACAGATATCTATGGCTTTGTTGACAGACAAGATGTTGGTTTGGTGTGGGATTTGATTGTATAGTTCAAAACTATGGGACTTGTGAGGTACAGATGAATTTAGGGCACAAGCCAAGATACAGTTGTCTCTGAGATGACCCATGTCAGCTTAGGGTTCTTGGTCTGATTAGAATAGAGCACTAAGTTGAGATATTACTCACAAAAGTTTCCTAATCCTGTATCTGTAGTAGCCGAAGGTGGTAGACTACGGAAAACAGGAGAGGTTCCTTTAGATTCTTGGTGAGTAAAAATATGAATTTTAATTGTATGTGTTAGATACAATTGTCTGAGGTGCGGGATTGGAATACCGCTGCCAGTTAAATAACTAGTGCACTCACTAGGTAAATTTTCTGAATTGAACACGGGGATCCGTGGTTATGTTTCAGGCTTGCTTCAGCGGTGGGTCCTGATAATAGTTTATCGGGAAAAGAGTTTTTAAGGTAATGAAGGCTTTAGTCTAACAGTTCTCACTGAGCAATCTTTAAAGTCCTTCTTATAAAAGAGATGATAAAAGAGAAAAGGGATATAGAAAAGAGTATCTGAAAGATTATTTTAATAGTCTAAGACAGAGAAATAAAAAGGACAATTTTTGCTTAATACGTCTAAATCAGAAATCAAATCTAACAGGTAGGGTTTTTCTTTACTTGAAAGGATGATAAGTATTAATTGGTTCAACAGTTTTTAAGTTTAAATCAAAAAATAGTGATGAAGTAAATTTTAGTAGGTTTTATTTGTATATATGATGAGATCAGTCTTTCTTCATTTGTCAAAAGGTGTGATCATATATATAGTTTTCTTTTGTTAGCTAGTTCTTTTGATGTTGGCTGAAAGATTTCAGCTAAGCCTGTTTTATTTATTTCCTGTATGCTTTTCAGGGAATAGCTGTTCCAGTTATCTTCATTTTAACTAGGCAGGGTTCGTTTCTTTAGTTACGAACCCCTGGTTTAGTCCTGAACTGGATAGTCGTTATTTTCATTATAGTTTTGAGTTTCTACTCTTGAGACTGAGTATTAGAGATGTGGGGTAATGTGTTTTTTGTTTGTAGTAAGGGTTTTTCCTAACCCTTGCTACTTTTTGTTTTTTTTTATTTGTCATTACGATGGAAGCTCTACGACGTAGATCTTCTCACCGTTGACAGCCCATACCTCTTCATGGAACTCAAAAGCTATGGATTTGCATAAAGTATGGGCTACCAAGTTTCTTTGCATTACCCCATACCAATTGATTCATGGGTTATTGCAGAGATTTTTACAAAAGGTAAGACACAATTGTTGAGAAATTTCATTACATATTGAAGAGGAATTGGAAGGGAAAGACTAAAGTGTGAACCTGATCTAGTGTTTTGAAGTGGGCTGCACTGTATACCTTTATCAAGGCTCTCCCACATGCTTTAACTTCTTCAGGATATTTGTGTCTGATGTAATTTGTGACAAGATCTGCGGACTTGAGGAAATCTGAGTACACTGGCTGTGTAGGTACCTCAACTGTGGGGTGCTCTGTATGTTATGACTGGGGTAGGGATCTGGCAACAGAGAGGCACAGTGGTTGTGAGGTTCTGTTCAGGTTGATCTTGCTCCTAATGGTAGAGTGTTGGATGAGGGGAAGGAAATGGTACAATGTGGTCCTACAGTATAAGTCCCCTATCTGTGACAAGTCTAAGTATGTGTGTCAATTCATGAGGTATGAAGCTGCAGCAGAAATACCATATATCTGTGTTGTGGCTGTTTTGCTTCATCACTTGAAAAATTCCTCCAGAGTCCAGGTCTCATGGCCACTTGTATACTCATTGGTGGTATCTAAGAGTTTGGAATGAGCAATCTCCAATGGTCCCAGCTCTTGAAGATATAGGAAGTATTTTTGTTGATAGAAAAGTTGAATCAGTGATGATGTGTTGAAATTTTGATGATTTGTGTGGAATTGAAGGAGTCAGATGGCTTTGGAGAGCTTTTCAGACAATTTTCAAGAGTCTCTTGTACTGTAGTATCTGGAATTTTCCTTGGTAGAAACTATGGCTTTTGTGTTTCTGATTTTCAAAAGAGAATGGGTTGAGGCTTATGATAGAGTATGAGGGTTTTAACACATTTCACCAGCCCATAAAAATATGGAGATAAAAAACCATGGGTTATGGTAGAGTATGGGTTATCAGAGGCAACTGTAATACAGACTTGTTCCATTTTTGCTTGCACAGGGGGAAATTGCCTAGCTATGTGAAAATTTAGGGCATTGGCTTGGGAAGATATTGCCCTAAATTTGTGTATGGCACAGTTTACGGCACCTGTCTGGGGATGCTCTTGATAATTCTTGGCACAGAAAATGCCATGATTTGTAGTCAAGACTAAAGAGCTCTAACCAGTAAGTGTGAAGCACCAAGGAGGCACTGGTTAGCTTGCCTAGACCCCTGTATGGCATCAAATTGCACAGAATCTAGTTTAAAAATCTAGAATTTTGATTGGAGCATCAACACAGAGATGTCACAAAGATGTGTAAGCTAATGAACGCTACCGAGACTAGAGCTAGTGTGACAGGGAGGCCCCAAGGCTTTGCTCTTCCCCAGGTTGTAAGAACCTTGAGAGGATCTTCACTACAAGTTGGCACAGACAGAGCAATTGCTCCAGAACTAAATCTAAAACCCAATCATAGATTCCCAAATCCAACAACTAGCTCCATCCAAAGGGTATTCGGTGAACAAACACAATCAGACACACTCTACAATAAAAGAGAAAGAGATGAAGAGAAATGAAATGAAATGATAAGATGATGCTCACCTAGCTCCATCCAAAGGGTATTTGGTGAAGAAGAGTCTTCATGGAGCTAGGGCGTCTCTGAGTACAAGTGATCCAGCTACCCATCTAAGTCCATACCTCCAAGCCATACTTCTACATGTAACACCTTACACAGGTGGACCTGGAAAGATCCAGAAATCAATCAGGGCCAACCAGGGCACACCCTGAATTGAATATAAGAGCTAAAAAGGATCAAAGGGGAAAAATCCTGACATTCATTGTGTGTTTAGGTGTATGAAATTGTATATACAAGTTATGTGAGCCTACTCAGGACTTGCAAAGAGCTATGGGAGCCTAATCAGAAGGCAATTTTTTTTGAATATCCAATAAAGAAAATGTTGGCCAACCACAGGGCTTTTATGACTCTTTATTAGGGTTTTGGTGTGTCTGGGTAAATACTGTCTGCTTCCAAAAAATCAGTGGGCACAGTTGGCTGGCCAGGGCTGGGTCTGGGGAAAACTTAATAAAGTACCACTTGTTTTGAGCTGTACTGGCCAGCTCAAACCAGGGACTTATGTGTAATGTCCAAAAAATGTTTTTTTACATTTTCAAATATCCCTAGCCCCAAAACAAAAAATTTACCTCTTGGTTTCTTCATAACCTAGTACTCTTGGCTTCTTAATAGTGTGAGTGGTTGTGTAGATATTTATATAAGTGTTTCACAGCTTGAAGCCAAAAATTGAGTAATATTGTGTGATCCAAGTCTGAAATTTGAACTTTGGTGTAGACTTGAAATACTAACTTTCATATATATTTGCAGAACCAATCAAGCTATCAGGATTCTGAAACCGTTGGGTTGTATCCAAAAGCAAGGTCCACATTTTTCATTTTTGACCCAGGAAACGTTGAAATGGTAAAAAAAACATTTCATAAGGTAAGTAGATTTTGGCAAAAAGCTTCACCAGACCTCATGCCATTTTTCGGACATTACGCACAAGTCCCTTGTTTGAGCTGGCCAGTACAGCTCAAAACAAGTAGGAATTTGTTAAGTTTGGTTCTGGGGCATAATCCTAGCCAACACACACATCAATCATGTAAACAGTGACATGCCTTGTTTTTTTTAAGTGCATGAAGGCTGCATTGAGTTTTTTAGGTGCTAAGTTGCTATATTGCATATCACACTAACTAAACAGTTATGGCCCTCAAACCTGTGTAAAACCGTCCAAGACCAACATGCAAGATCTGTGCAAGATTTCTTGCACCAATCTTGCACATTAATTTTTTTGACAACCCCAGCTATTGTGTTCCAAGTCACTGATACGACAACAGTGCAAGACCAACATGCAAGATTTGTGGCAGTTCTATTCATGTCTTGGACAGAATTTGCACTGGTTTGAGTACCATAAATAAAAGAAACACAGATACTAGTATGCCTGAAACCAAGCAGCCATCTAGTCAATACCCAGCATATGTTTTGTCTTTTAAACATTTTGCATTATTTCAAAAACTTTTCCATTTTGTTTCACCTCTTTTTGAAACACTATCTAAACAAGTCAAGTTGAAGGAAAGTAGTACACCTTAGAAAATTGGGCATCTAGTCGGAGCAAAGGATATTGTTGCCTCTAGAAAATAAGGAGTTCTCCTGTCTCTTTTTTTAAAAATTTTTAACGTACACCTTTGCACAAGCGCTTCCTATTTAGGAATTTGGTGTGATTAAACTTTTATAGTACTTTTTTGTTGTGGTCTCCACGGAGCTGAGCAGGCATCTGATCCTCCCCTAACCGAGACACACAGGACTCATGGAAACAGGGACACGCCTTGTTTACTGCCTGCAAAGTGCCTCGGGTTCCGAGTATTGTCACAATGCATTCGACGAGTATGCCCGAGGGATCGTTGAGGGCCAAACAATTCCCGAGATCTTGGCGATTCCTCTCTCCGCCTCCGCTTATGCGTATTGCTCGCTCGGCCGACAAGGAGTTGTCGCGAAGAGTGCTTCATGCAGATTGTATTGGATCTCAAGGTCTGGAGTGACTTCTGGGGGATGTGTACAGCTGCCACAGCAGCAAAAAGCGTATTTCCCTGAAAAATCGTATACAAGGTGGAATATGAGAATCTGTTCTTAAATTATTGATCCATCGGTTTGAGTTTGATGCGTGCGGACAATTGTAACTCCGTTAGTTTAGAAGAGCTATATAAAGTGGACTTTAATAATTCCTTAGCTAATGTTAGAAGCTAATTATATGCACTTGTTTTCTTTATATATCCCTCAAAGTTTGATCATTGTTTGGAGTAAAAGTAACATGTTTCGAACTCTTGAGTAGTCCCAAGCCAATTCCTAATAAAAGGAAGCTGTTCAACTCGCAAAGTCCTTCGAAGAGAGAGAATTGTTAGCTACCTGACAGTTTGACTGATTTATCTTATCTTTTGTGCCATGATAGTGGTAAATTTTAGGATAGTCTTATCTCTGATCTTAATAAAATGCGAACTTCTTCGGCACACGTTGGCATTTCAAGATGATCAAGTTTTAGTACAGGATAGCTTAAAAGCACACTCTGGCTACTTCGATCTCAACAAGTTACCACAACAAGAAATGGAACACGAGTCAGTGAATTCCAATCAAGTGTTCAAACATATTGGACTAGAAACAAGCGGCCACCAATCCAGCGCGTCTCGCGACGTGAACCTTCCGCAAGACGTTATTATCTCAAGACCACACCTATCACACGACGTTCAAACACAGGACACACCACGTACCTCCAATTTTAGAATTCGTGACAAATCAGTGATATCATCATCTCAGCCTCGTGAGAGCGACCTTCAATCTGCCATAAAAGAAATTTGGATAAAACTCATAAACTTGTTACGGTTCACTCCAGAGAATAATATGGAGACTATTTTACATTCATCAGTCAAAGACCTACTGGATCCACAATATCTCCTAGGGCTTCAAATGTCCGTTAAAGATAATCTAGTCGGTCTGGAGAGGGTCTCTGATGACAAGGTTGAATATGATATGAAAGTAAAGATACGAAATTTTCAGACTCTGACTCCGATTGCTATACCAGCAGCAGTTTCATTATTCTATGCTAATAGACTGCTTCAAAAGATGGGTGAATATTTAATGTACGATGAAGCCTACAGATCTGGTGCATGGATCAAATTATGGAACACAAGCACAATCTTACCGTTTGTTTATTTCATAATCAGTTGTAATCCATCATACTACATGTGGGAACGCATCGAAAATATCGCCGTCAGTGCATTCAAGGCTTATGATGAGCTTTACGTTCTTAAAAACTCGGCATATGATAAAGAAGATCTCACTCGATTTCTTTTATGGAATACGGAATTGATGCATTATGCGGCAAGATCATCAGATCTTATAGAATTGCCCACAGAGACTTACCAACCCCGATACTTATCAAGAACAAAAGCATCACCTATCTCTCGTATTCTTGCTGCCCTTCTCAGAAAGCCAGAATATGAGCAATACACCTCAAGTAAACTTCGTGTTTCCAGACGTGAACATTTGACAAGATATATACAACAATGTTGGAAATCAGATTTGGAGAAAGGTTATCCGAGAAAACGCGATGGATCTGATTCAAAAAATTCATTGTGGGATGATTGGATTTCAAAATCAGAAGAAATTGGGAAAACGTCGCAAAAAATTTACTGGTCGTCTATGCGAAATGATTTAATTGGACGGGGAAACAACTCGCCAATACTCCTAGTCAGAACAGCAGCAGAATTATTACCAATTCCAAAAGAATCAGAATCAAATCGATTATTTTCTCATCATTCTAAAGAATTCAAGGAAATGTTGGACAATATTCAAAACCCAATAAGACCTAAATTGAGATTGATGAAAAGAGATCAAGATATATTTCATGGTTTGAGTTACTTTTTAAAAAAGCATTCTAAACGAAACTTTCGCACCGAAGCAAATACATCAGAAAATTCATTGGATTTATTATCCGAGTTCCTCGAACAAGATCCGCAGAGTGCGAGATTTGTTACTTTTTGGTCAGAATTCAACATCTATAAAAATGACCTTGTATATAGAAGGAATGCAAGATCAAAGGGAGAAGCATCACGTAATGCTGATAACCCAAACAAAAAAAGGAGAGTTTCAAGAGAAAAAAACCTTTAGGTGGTCAAGGCTTACTTGAGTTGCTCTATATATCTTCATCGATAATTCAAGTCTTGAGCCTCAACACTTTTTAAAACCTTCTCCAAACCGCTTGTAGGATTTTTTGAAAAACCACAAAAGCAAAGAAACATAATTCAAACTGAATTGTAAAAAGCTGAATAGTTTCTTTCTGGCAATTACGTTTATTTCTTTGTGTGAATTCAAATTTTATTTGTTTACTTGGAATTTGGCTAATTGTTGGCTGCAAGTTAACAAAGGATGCCTGTAACGCAGTACAGATTTCGCCATTCTGACGCTAGTGCTGTACAACTATGGGAGGCATACATTAGACATCTGCCCTGTTGAGAGTCTCATTTCGGGTGCTTGTTTTTGGTTAATGGTGCACCCAGCGCGCCTCAAGAGGATTTGAGACCCAAATGTCACAAAAGAGGGGGAAAGAGAATAAAACATTAAATATTGTTCTTCATGGAACCCACATTGGAAGCAATCTCCTTGGCTGGTTTTGTAGACTGGTCTTTTGGCATGATAGCAAGTTGTGTGGGACCACAATCCCAAATCAGATCTGAACAGATGACTCCCAAGTATAAGATGGCTGTATGCAATACTGCTTATTCATTTGTTATTGCACTACTGTGTATATTCACAGCAGATTTTGATATTTTTGTTCTACTCATGTGGAAGATGTTGTAATCTGATTTGATACTATCTATATCTTCTTGCATCCTAAGAATTTGGCATACCGTTAAGCCAAACAGAGGATTTTTTGCATATAGTCTTCATATCACTGAGCTTGCCAGCTGGTGACTTTCTGACAGAATTGGTCTTTAGAATAATCCTAGAATAATGTTAAGATGTGAATTTGTAGTAAGGGGCCGGCCTTATTTCTTTCAAAAGGCACATGTCAACTGGGTACAAGCTACTAGAGCTGAATTTACTTGGAATCTGGCTCAATATGTTAACAACAAAGTATAAATCACTTGGTGAAAGCTGGTGGAAGCTCCACGCACTACCAGCATTACATATGTTCCTTGGTGGAAACAAGCCGTAGGCTAAGAACACAATTGAGAGTAGAATGGGTCATCAAACCATCTTGCATGTCAGCCCTGGGTAAGTATACATGTACCCAAAGAGTAACTTGTAATATATAACCTTCACTTAGGAAATACAATTACATGTACATACAGTCTAGAAAAGATGTGTAACATGTAATAATATACACATAACCCTAATTACATACACATGTGTCATGTACTCAAGAACTAATATGTAACATATAAGATTACATATGACATAACTCAGTATCAAGAGTCAAAAATGCTTATATTGTACAAAACACTTGATGGTTACTGAACATAACATTAAGTGTAATTGATTATAAAAACAATTGTGGGAAAATATTTGAGCCACCGGACTGTGGAAACAGCCTGTATGGGTTACACAATGTCCAAATCTTGACCGGGAGAGTGCAAATTTGGATGGTGTACAACAAGCCAAATATCACCAAAATCTGAGATATTGTCCAACCTTCCCTGCCATTTTGGATGAGACAAACAATCCTATGCTTGGATCAAAGGCATATACTGTTTTCACCTGTCAGTCTGTACACGGCTGCGGTTTTGCCTACCTCCACACAAGTTTTGCATACAGGCTGAGACCTGTCAAAGGGTCATTGTACATAGTACTTTTTTACACACCAGTGGTGGACATGCTCTTAAGAATATCTTGAATCAGTTTTTATTTCCATCACAATGAATAACAGAACACCACAAGATATGAGGAATGAAAAAACAGAATTAAGCTACATACCTGTCAGAGCAGGGAGAGATATGGTTGAGAACTGAACCTAATGAACTATCTCAAATCCCACAAACAGAGTAAGGGCCCGTTTGGCTGAAACCCAAAAGTAACTTTTGGCCAAAAGCTTCACCAAAACCAAAAAGCACTTTTGACCAAAAGCAGTTTTTGATTTTGGTCAAAAACACCGGCGTTCGGTAAAGTTCTTTTGATCAAAATCAAAAGCTACTTTTGATCGAAAGTTTGTTCAGTTTGAAAAGCAGCCTTGAGGCTGTTTTTCGGACAAAAAGCAACTTTTGCCCTGTCTCTTCGATTGATCAACCTCACCCACTCAAAATTCACCAACCACTCAACACCCCTTTCCGCCGTCCACCGTTCTTTCCTTTTGTCGTCTGTTTTTTATCATCAATCTTCTCTTCTTTCCTTATTTTATAAATTTGACTATTGAATTCTTTTGGAAATTTGTACATATGTGTTCAAACATGATGCTGATGTGTGTATGCAATAGAACTAAACAGATTGTCTGTTCTTTAAAAACTGTTTGTTTTGTTTCTTTGGATTCTTAAACTCAAACATAAAGAAGTTTTCACATAACTTGATGTGATCCTTGGATGATCAATAATAGCTTGTGTAAAGGAAATATCATTTATTTTCTGCGCATGGAATTTTCAATATCAGATGGAGGTTGTTGATGACCGTGATGGATGGATGGATGGTTTTAAGGACCATCCGATCAACTTTCAAGTTTCAACACAAGAACACACTCATCTTTACCAAACAGTTGACTGGTGATCAGATGATCAACAATGATTATTGTGATCTTTTGTTGTCCCTTTTGGTTGACTATTTGGTAAGCAATGAAGCTGAAACTCAGCTTTTCATTTTGCCCCGTTTTCAGGGGGCAAAATGAAAAGTTGTTTTTGTGTAAAGATTTTTGGCCAAAACAGCCAAACGGGCCCTAACTCACCTATCACCCAAGGATAATTGAAAACATCTTGGATGAGGAAAGAAACTCTATGCACTGCTCTTTGAGGTTTTACATTACAGCTCTAAGTTGTAGTTAGGTCAATTATGATGACAAACAGTAACTAACACAACAGACAAAAAACACACAGTTACATATGGAATATTGATAATAAATGAGACATGAAATATTACACAACTGTAAAGTTCAATTATGTAAAATGTAAATGACACTATACTTCAACAAAGTAAACAAAACAATATAGACTGATCAAAAAGAACACATGTACCTTTACAAAGACCTACACTCGTTAGTATCTTGGTGAGAGTGTAAGAAAAGGAGTCTTAACATTGTGCTTTTAAATCTGCAGTCAATATAAAAATGTTAGAACAAAACTTGTAAGAAAGAATGTAAAGAATAGAAATCAATCAAAAACTCCATCACAATTAGAGAACCAAATTACCTAAGTCTAAGAAGTTCACTAGTGATCCTCCTGATTCTATACACTGTATCAACAAGATCTTTGGTGTTGTGGGGATCTTCTAGAAGATGTGTAAATGAGATAAAACAATTCAAGATAGAATGAAAAGAGTAGATGGATGAGTTTGGTGATTAATCCAAGAAAAAGGTTTCTTCTTGACAAGAGGGAAGAAAGAAACACACTTGCAAAATTGAAATCAAACAAGTGCACTAGACATAATAGAAATGTGACAATTCAATAACATTAAACTAGTGAGAAAAAAAGGAGACATGGGCAACATTAAACATTCAACATTAAACATATCACACCAATAAAGATTTCTACATAATATCCTGAAAACCTCAATTGTAGCATGATTACATCTTACATCAGAGAGGGGGTAGGTATGAGTCACTCACAATAAAGCCGTTATGTTGTTAGTAAAAGGAATTGCTTATGAGTGATTGTGACAAGCCAAATGGATGAGTTATTTATTTCGCAACACGCAAAGCACAAAGCATAGACATGTGTATATAGAGAAATGAATAATATAGAGCAAGGAGAACACTAATAAAACCAGAAATCTTTCTATGATCCATTCACAATAAATCAATTACGTTGTTAGTAAAAGGAATTGCTTATGAGGATTGTGAAAAGGTTTGAATGGATGAGTATCAAACCGTATGGACTCATAGGCTGTTTATAAGGAAAAAGGAGAACACTGTAAGAGTTCAGAGCACACCTATACAAATAGAAATCAGTGTGTAGCAACATATCAAATGAGAACAGTCAAAACAACATATCAAATAGAAACATGAATACATTTCAAAATACCACAAACAATAAAAGCACACTACATGATGTCATAGAACATCCAACTCTATTTGCCAACCACCAACAGTAGGATAAATATTATCAGATATTTATGAGACTTTGTATGAGGATTCATATATTTTGAATGATTATAGGCCTTGTTCTCTCAAACTCATTCTTTTCTCAGATCAATCCTCTTGTTGGGCATACTTTTGTCTTGAGACTTAATTCTTGCTACTCTGGTTTGATACTCTGATTTTCTCAATGCCATTGATTTTCTCTTGCGTGTGGTGTTGACCGAACGGTTCCATTTATATAGGTGAAAGTAAGACCAAAAACTGCGAAATTTCGGGCTTTCTGGATCTTGATCAAGGAATTCTGACACCAAATCAAGTGAATATCTTGTCTGAGTCTCTTTTGGAATCGATTCTTTTGGCAAGTATTGATCAGGAAAATTTAGATGGTAAGTTAAAGCATGATACATATCTTGTTCAGTGAACTTTGATCTTAGTTCAGGTCTCTTCGGGTTGTGGATATGTTTCATCATGTCAAGGAAATCTTTAGAATGATAAGTAACAAAGTCACTAAGACTTGATCCTTGGACGTGTTGGTATAATATTGACTCTTCCCTCACCAAAAGCACAGGTAGGTTCTTAGATGTTTCAATCAAGTCATTTGGTATCTGTGGCCAATGAAAGTTAGGAGTGTTTCTCTCAATTTGATCTGATTTAGCATTCCAATGACCCCACAATGAGCTTTTTGAGTTAGATTCATGTTTCCCTGTTGGGTAATTTTTTTTCTCATCCTCCTTCCAACCCTTTTCTAAATATCTGTTCAAATGCTGGTTTCTAGGATTACGAGAAGCTTCTGAGGTGTATGTCTCATATTCTGTTGTCCGGAGAAGAACCCTAATGATACGAGTGATAGGTGATGCTCTAGAGTGCGATGCATCCAGGTTTTCAACCAGAGATTCTGCTGGCGGTTCAGTGAGATCGGATGACCTCGCAACATGTGACATAACCTCGGTGTGCCACAAAAGGAATCGAGAAAAAACTTCTATATCATAGTCCGGTTTTCCATGGATGTATTCAACATAATAAGCCTTCCATACTCTGATGGTGATTTTTTCAATCCGCTCCCACATATAGTACGATGGGTTGCAGAGCATTATAAAATACACAAACGGGAGGATCGTTCGTCTATTCCATATACCTGACCACGAAACATAATTGTGAGCTGTATCAAATCTTAGCCATTTGGACATGTCGCCAAGCATTTTCTCAGCATACGATATTGAGGCAGCTGCTAGTAAAGGAACTGGGATGACATCTTGAAAAGATCTGAGCCTGAACCTTATATCTGTTCCGTTATCTTCATCAACAACCCTTTCCGATTGAATCTTTTCCGCTTCAACCCGTCCCGGGGACCCTAGATCAAAGTAGGGATATAACAAGTCTTTCATTGAGATACGCAGAAAATCATCCCGTTCATTTGCCGGAATACATGGGAATAGCTTTGAAATCTTATGCCAAATTGCTTCGGTGGCCATTTGAATCTTAAACTCATAATTGATCCGAAGTTTTCTTTTACGCGAGGTATACAGTTTATCATCTATTTCAACGGTGGATTTGCTTGGTATGCCTTGGTCTTGAAAGTCATAAGGTATGTGGGGTCTTGATATGATGCCATGCTCTGCAACTACTGGTGCACTGGATTGGTGGCGGGTTGTCTCCAATTCAGTCTGTTGTATCACTTGGTTGGTGTTGACTAATTCATGTTCAATTTCTGGTTCTGGTAAGCTGTTGAGATCAAAGAAACCAGGCTGTCCTGTTAGACCATGCTCCACTACTAGTGGGTTATCTTGAACTGCCAATGTGCCATGGAGGAGTGCAGAGATTAACAAGATCATCAATAATTCTACCATCTGATTTGCCATTTTGCTAGTATGAAAAATGTTAAATGAATCAAACTTCTTGATGATCATGTTACTGGAGTTTCTTCTGTTCCAGCTAGTCTCCTGTTGAGCAGCTTCCTTTTATGTTGAACTGACACATGACAAGTCTGATATATTGTACGCGCAACCCTCTACACAGGCTGCAACATCACAAAGCTTGTGCATGGGACCACTGCACATTTTTACAGTGAAGTTTTAACAAGAACTTTACCCCCTGTGTTTCACTGCGGCACTGTGGCATGGGTGGTACACAAATTTAAGCAAGCCCTGATTCTGGCCAATGCAAATATATTCACTAGCTTAACAGGGCCCCAGAACCCCCCCCATAAAGGTTAGTCATCAGAAAATATACCTTTTGAGCTCCCATAAGAATCTGCCCCTGCCAAACTTTCAGGTTAATTCCTAGCTTCATCCTTAGCTTTCAATTCTTTTGATTGTTCCTTGTAACTCAAAACACAGCAGCCAAACCTTTTGCAATTCTGACATATGTGAAAATTGAAGGTAGAAAGGGTTGGAATTCACAAGAGCAATGTATAATCCCATGGAGTGTAATTCCATGGGAGCTCAAAAGTCGTATTTCCTGATGGCTACCCTTGGGCATTCCATGGTTCTACCTTGACCCTACCTTAACAAATTGCCCAAGCCATATTTACTAGACAGGTCCAAGGTTTGTGTGAAGGAATTGAGCCATGATTGACACTGTTGATGGTAGAATTTTAGGCCACAATTGACCAAAACATGGTCTGGACCCATTAACCACCATCAAATCTCAGCAAACAATCCCATTTTTTATGTGCAACCCTTTGTCTACATCCTATTCAGATTTTTCAATTTCATCTGAGAAGGCATAATTTCCATCACATGATTGCACTTAAGCCAAGATTTGTATTGTTCTTAATACTTTTCATATCGTACTGTGTTTGTTTCCCCAGACTCTTTTGAACCTAAAATGCTCATCAAGGGCCTTGAGTTGGAAAAGACCTTTATTCAAAAACCACAGCCACTGTTGCCTTATAGAGCCAAATACGTTCATATTTTGAAATTCTGTCTCAACTCCTACCGGCCAACAGTTACAGCTTTGGTGTAAGTCCCTCACTCAAGCCTCGGACCCGTCCCGTCTGTGTGATGGGCTTTGTTAATGGAGCGTGGCCACCAGAGCCGGAGGGGATGCTGGCAAACCAAGTGCAAATCCCGCCTGGTTGGATTTTGAATTTGGCAGGGAGTATCTGTTGATATAAATTCTACTTCCTCACACAGCCAAGACCTTTGAGGCACTGTCATAAAATATGACACGGCAAATTTTCCCATTCTTTTGGCCTCTTCAGAATTTTATGAATCACTTCAAAGGTCATGCATGAGATGAATAGTTTCATCTGAATGAAATCAGTTTGTAAGAGCCAATTGTTCCCACAGTCGAGTGATGGCACCACCAACATATTTACCTCGGATTACAAAATCAGAGGTATCCTTGGATGCAGGGATGCCACTTTGAGTACTATGGGACTCGACTTAGACCCATGAGTACTGGGTAATTGTTGAACCAAGGGAGTACCTGTACTCATACAGGTACTTGGACTAAGAGTACCACATGACATGGTACTCTCTTGCAGAATGTGGAGACAGTACATGTACTGTCTTTTAACTGCATGAAAAGACAGTTGTACTCATATTGTCTTTGACTTTGGCCTTGTTTGGATGAGTATCACTCATGATACTCATCCAAACAACCCATTACCAAAGCTAAAGCCCTGGCCCCATCCACTCCAAGCCATAATCATCTCAACATACCTCTTTCCATTGATTTGCCCACTGGATCAATCAACAGTGAACACTTGGACAACTCAATATCCCTTTGGGTGTGGCTGAACTCCACTAGATCTTGACGATGTGGGTCAAGATCAAATCACACGATCTTGAAGCAAATTTTTTGGGACTTGGAGTCATGGTCATTATAAGTAAGCTTCTCTATCTCTCAACAATAATCTCTTGTAGACCTTCTTCAAATTCCTCTTGTGAATATCTAGGCTTACTATCTCGTAATTCTTCTTACTTGACAATCTTGTCTTTCTTCTTACTTGTACAATCAATCGACTCTCTTGAAAAACTCCCTCAATTACATCATGGGTAAATCTCCAGCAACTCCTAGTACTTCACGTTTGGAAACTAGAATATCCCTGTATGCTTGCAGGGTCACATTAGTGCCTGGTTCCTCTCGTCAAGCCATCCGCACCTTGAAGCAATCCACCACTACTCAAAACAATCCTCAAGGGAATAACTTGGTTTCGAAGGACGGCAAGATACAATCTGATATTTATTACTATTTTGATGTGTGTCATTGTCCTGTTTAGTCCATTACCGTTAGATATTGACTAACAATAACTTTCCCATACAGGAGCCTGAGGTTACCATCATTGATGGTGAAGTTCCTTGTGATGGCACTATCCCGCTCACGTTTTGCTGCCTCCACTGCACGTGAGTATTTTTTTTTGTCTTCTTGACTTACATTGCCAATACTGACATGAGCGTGTGATCACAGCTCGGCTCTCATGATCAGTCCAACCCCAGGTTTAAACACCCTTCCCAACTCCAACCTGCACAAACACCAACGACGATGCCCGGGTTTGAAAGAAGCTTACATCAATGGAGTCCCGGGTGCGATTCCACTGGATTCAAACCCTGCCGACATAGCTGCCAAAAAGAAAAACCTTCGAAGCTTGCTGGTTGGAGCTATCATATCAAAAACCTATCATTCTCGATCTTTGAAGGTCAAGAAATCCAACAAGCATTCCGTTCAATTTGCCCTTCTTTCCACTGGCCTGGTCGAACCACAATGAAAAAGGACGCTGAAAACTTATATCAAGACTTGGAGCAAAATCTCATGGATGAACTTGCGGCAGTTCCAGGAAGCATCTCATCTGCTACTGACTGCTGGACCTCGCCGGACTTTCAGCATACATACATGGTAATCAATGGGTTTTACTTTGATGCAAAAGGCTCCTTTTCTTGTTGACTACTGGCTTTTAAAGTAAGCCGTTGATTACTTTCTTTTGATTGTATTTCTCACTACAATTGAACTCTTTCCACCTTTCGTTTTGTTTTTGTTTTGTTGATCTTTTTCATGATTTGTCTTTCTGGATCCAATTGATTTAATAGGCCCTAGAAGGCCGTCATACTGCGGAAAAGCTCGCTGATGTTTACTGGGATGTCCTGCAAGAGCAAGGAATATTAAAACATCATTTTTCTGTTGCCGGCGACAACACATCGACCAACGGAGCCATGGTACGCATCCTGGGTGAGCGCTATGAATGTATAGGTATCCACTGGCCTGGGGAGAAACGTTTCCATGGGTGTATGTGTCACATAATTAATCTTGTGGCTCAAGACTTTCTATCCGGAGTTGGCGAACTCACTGAAGACAAAAAGAAGCTATTTGAAGTCTCAGGAATGCCAGCCCTCTTAGCTTCATTCGAGCCGGACGAGCCTCCAAGTGCTATCCGAGGCGACTCATCTTATGTTTCAAGTTTAGAAGGAGATGCTCTCACCAACAATACATCTCAAACCAACACTGATATATTACCTTCAAACACTCAGTTTCTTCCACCTGATTCATCAAGTCCAATCGTACACGGATCTGTCATTGTTGCTGAGCTACGTGAAAGAGCCAAATCAACTATAGTTGGAAGAATACATGCTCTATATAACAACATACGAAAGAGCCCTCAAGAGTTAGAGTTTTTCATCAAGTTCCGAGAATCTGTTCAAGACATCCCAGTACTTCCCATCAATTGTCCTTCAACTCGATGGAATTATTTCTATTACGTGGTACGTACAATGTCCGAGTTGATTACTTCATGGTTGGCCCCTTATTTCACTTAACTAACCTACGTATTGTAGATTCTCCGCACCATCAGGTTGAAAAATAGTATTATAAGTTATACTGAAGACAGCAAGCGTTCGAAATTAGACCTCTCCGCATACGACTGGGCCGCAATGGAGTTCATGAAACCCATTTTAGAGATGTTTGAATCCGCCACGCAGATTTTCCAGGCCAACGCAGCACGCAAGCAACACATCCTTCCGGTTCTTTCGGATCTTCAGCAGGTCCTGAAGAAACATCAAGCTTCAAGAGGAACTTGGAGTGTGGCTTGTAAACAAGCTGAAGACAAATTACTGAAGTACATTCGCAAAGAGTGCGATAATCCGCAAACTCTGATTGCAACCATTTTGGAACCGGTTCATCAAGGATTGATCTTTCGAAAAATTAACGCACCCTTAGGAGTTGAGGTGAAGGCTAGACGAGTTTTACGAGAAGAGTACGACCGCAGGGCTTCCACCCCTGCCCCTTCGCCTCCGGCTCCATCAGATGAAACTACTCAAAAGAAGAAATCTTCGAAGACTCTCAAGAGTCTGGATGACTTGTACTCCATTTTGGGCTCAAGTGCGGTTCAACACCCAATTGAGCAGGACATGGTAGTCAACAAGATTGATTGGTATCTCAATCAACAAGATCCAATGATGCCTCACGAGTCGGTTGGACAATTTTGGAATGTAAGCACCTCATTCTCTTTCAATCACTCTTATATAGACATACTAACTCATAGATCTATGTACTCAAACAGAGAATGTCTGAAACCGGGACTTTACCAATCCTCACCCAAATTTCCCTGGAGCATTTGAAAATTGCCGCCTCTACTGCCTCGGTCGAGAGGGTCTTTTCAATATTGGGAAACATCACCACACCCTCAAGAGGGTTCTTGATGACCAACACGATCTGTATGCTTGTCCTCATTAGACACTGGCAAACTAATGATTGATCCACAATCCAGATTGAAGATCAGCAATAGTCTTCAACTTATCTTGAGGTACCAGAAACATGACTTGGTAATTTGAAAATCAAATTGATTTTAGTTTCTTCTATAAAGAACAAAGCGACCGATATATCTTGTTATTCAGAATTTTCCCCTTTTACCTAGTGCCTTGTTAAATACATACATGCAAAGAACAAATTGTTGCTCTACACCCGGTGTTCACATCGTTTGTTTCCTTTTTTGCTAGTACCTGGTTAAATACATACATGCAAAGAACAGGTCTTTGGACTACACTCGAACTTTCCCAGGGTTCTTCCTCTGTGGTTGAAAAGAATGTTTATTTGTTCATTTCTTCAAAACTAACTATGTACACGTGCTTCTGATTAGTTTACTCTCCTAAAATTGGCCTAAGTATTCTACAAACTCATGAGACTCATCCATATTTCCCCTATGAGTACATAAAATTGAGTTGTACTCTTTTCTTCTTCTTCTTTGAGTCTTGTACTCATGACGAAACTCATTCGGCAACGGTGGCGTTGAGTCAACGACCCATTTTGCCACCAGTCCGTGAGTATTGTATTCACTGCCCTCCCGGGGCCGTGAGTTCCCCATAAGTTGAGTTTGACTCAAAGTGGCAACCCTGCTCGGATGCAAAACCTCGGACAGAAGCTTCCCGAGGTTTTGATCCGAGGTAATTCTCAGTGCAAAAAAATACCTCGGGCAAAAACCTCGGACAAGGTCTGTCCGAGGATTTACCTCCGATGATGCCTCGGATTTCTCAACCCGAGGCATCTATGCTGGCAGTGTGGTGGCATCCGAATTTCAAAAGTTACATTGATACGGATTCTTTTCAAGGCTACAAATTTTCATCATGTTGCAAGTTTTTGAAGCTTGCTCCTTCATCATACTTGAGCTATACTAGTGAATGATGAAGTGTTTAAGGCAGATGGAATCTGAAGCAGCCGAAAACCAGGATTCTGCATTTTCACCATGCGTGGAGCCTGAGGTTAGTTCAAGTCGTAGATAAGTCACTCCTCCGCAGGCTCCTTTGAGGAGGGACTTGATTAAGTTTAGTATATTCAGAGTGCCTGGATTTGTGAGCGAGCTGATCGCCCAAAGATGACTATCGATACCAACTCCGGTACAGTGCCCGTGCTGCAGTGTATCTCAAGGAATAGCAGTTTATGCCACGGCCATTAGTGCGCTTCAAAAATTGGGAGTGGTGAAGTTAAGCATTATAGACACAGTGGGCCAGGAATGAGACTTGTTCCATGTTAGCGTGAATTGTAAGCAAGCTTTTCGACGAGGAGGACAGATAAAAGGAAATTGTGATTCCCCGACACGATCATAGAGAGTCTAGTTTCATTTACTTGCTGTTGGCGATATCATCATGGTAAAACTAAGGGTGGTATTATCTCTAATATTTTCAACCAATCGGCTCCTCCATAATCATTACGCTTTAGCATTTGAAGACGATGAAGGGATCGTACGGATCGGTTTAACAGGACGGCCTGGTGACTTCGATCTCAACAGCTTACCACCACCAGAACTCGATCATGAGTTGATCAACTCCGACCAGCTGATAAAACATAATGAATTAGCAACAAGCACCCGCCAATCAAATGCGCCTGAGGATCTTCCTCAACAATTCATCACTCCAAGACCCCACACACCTCAAGACTTTCAGAACCAAAACATACCAAGCACCTCGACCTCTGGGGTAGCTAATAAATTGCCCACTCCGCCCAAAACAAAACCTCGGCTGAATGACGCTGAGCTTCAGAGGGCCTCCAAAGAAACTCGGACCAAGATTTTGAACCTACTGCGAAGTGCTCCAGCAATCGAACGAGAGAAAATATTGCGGAACGCTGTGCAAAGCTCGCTAGATCCACGGTTCAATTCAGGATTAAAAAGAGGGGGTCAAGATTACCAAGTTGATTCGGGAAAGAAGCTTCATCAAGACGTTGATTATCGAAACGACCCGAGATTCAGGATCAGAAATTTGCAAGATGATAAACCAATTCCTTTACCATCAGCTGCTTCAATCTTTTACGCTGATAGAATGCTTGGCAAGATCTCCACTTGGTTAAGATTTGATACGGTTCACAAATACCATTCATGGAAAAGTATATGGACCAGGCAGACGATACTTCCGTTTGTTTATCATATCATGATCTGCAATCCATCATACTATATGTGGGAGCGGATTGAGAAGATCACCATCAGATTATTGAAGACCTATCATCTCCATTACATTCATGGAAAACCGGACTATGATAGGGAAGCTCTTACTCGATTTCTTTTATGGCACACTAAGATTATGTCACATGTTGCAAGTTTGTCAGATCTCATTGAACTACCAGCAAGATCTTTAGGTCAAAACCTGGAGCTACCAAGAGCCAGAGTATCACCTGTCCCGCGTATCATCATCTCACTTCTCGGAACCTCAGAATATGAGTTATATACCTCAGTATCTTATCGTAGATTCAGAAATGATCATTTGATCAGATATATAGACAAAGCTTGGAAGGAAGATGTAGAAAAACATTACCCAGGAGGGATGGATAAATCTGATTCCCAAAGCTCGGTATGGGTTAAATGGAACTCAAAGTCGGAGCAAATTTATCAAAACACCCATACGTTCAAATGGCCAGTGATATCAAATGAACAATTTTTCAAATACAAGAACCTACCTGTACTTTTAGTGAGAGAAGAGACAGCATTACGTAATTATCTAGAAGGATCAAATCTTAATGACTTTGTTACTTATCACTCTAAAGATTTTCTTGAAATGTTAAAACATATTCAGAACCCAAAGAAACCAGCACTGAGAACAAAAATCGATGAACTGGATATGTATTATGGTTTGAATTACTTTTTAAATTCATATCAGGACCACTCTGAAGAAGAAAAGATTTCAGCAACAAAACACTATTCATTGGATTTGTTGGCAGAATTTTTAAACCAAGATCCAGAGAGCGAGGAATTTCAACGATTTTGGACATGGTACGAAGGATATAAACAACACCGCTTGATCAATAACGGCCAAAAGAAGAAATCCATAGCATTAAAGAAACAAATGGAACAAATGGAACAATCCAGCAAGAAGAGAGTTTCAAGAGAAAAAGCAACACCAGAAGAGGATCAACCCCAGAAAAAGAGAGTTTTGAGATAAGAAGACCTATGAACGTTCAAAACACGCGTAAGTTTCTTTACAAAGACTCATCAACTTGCTAGTATTTACCTTACCACTTATTTTGATACAGGATTTCAGGCAGACATGGAATCCACGACTTTGCGCTAGAAAAGCTTAAAAAAGAAGTTTGTAGAATAATTTAGTGAGAGTTCTTCGGATGAAGAGTTGTCTATTTGTGAGGCCAGGCTTCTGTCTTTTTTAGCGTTGATCTTGTGAACAAATTGTGTTCATCCAGAGGATTAGTTTGAAGTTCTTTTTCTTACTTTTTATAAATGTCATTGATGTGTCCTCTTGCGTTCGCAGTCTCTGTGTCCTCATGCTAAAATCAATTGGTTGGCATCACTTGCTATTGAAGGACCTGTTCATCTACATCCCGTGATGCAAGTAATATGAAAGGCTAGTCCACAAGAACATTGGATTTCCTAGGGCATATCAAAAGAGCTCGGCAGAAGCACTGATACAGCCAGGGTGATTTGGATCATCTCGGCTATTGTTGATCGAATAGCCATATTGGTACTATGGTTTGCAATGCCAGGCTGTGAGAAAAAAATCAGTTTGACAATTGACCATATGGATCCTAATCACCACTTATCCAATATGAGAGGGATCAACATCACGTCTCTGGATATGGCTCAGGACCATAGGATAAACAAGGTTGCAAACATACATGTATGAAAAATCAAAACAATTATTTTCTTTTAAAGATCATACTCAAGACTTGAATTAAGTAATTTGCCAAATTCATGATCAATCAAAACAAAAATTGAGGATCCTCTCAGTGATCTTACAAAAAAAGATACAACATCATCAAACCAACCAATATCATTATTAAGAAATGAATATGTAAACAGAATAAAGAGCAAAACATAATTTCTGTTCTTTTCATTCCTAAGCAGGATTAAAACTACCCCATACAAACCTTTGAACTTTTTCCAATAAAGTTTTTTCATCATCAATATCATCAAGTTCACCACTGTTATTGAACAAACTTGGATCAAATGACTCTTCTTTTGCTTCAGTTGGTTCTGCTCCAGGCAAAGTTTCAAAGATATTTAAACTTGTTTTATCTTCCGCCTTACATGGCCTCGGTCGTGCTAAACCCAAAATAATAATATTAGCATTGAACGAATTCCAACTAATTTGAATTCACAAGGAATATGTAACTCACTTGGTGGTGATGGCGGTGGTGGCGGTGGTGTGGGAGAGCGTGGCAATAGTGCTTGGTCATAAACTTCTTCTTGCGCTTCGGGTTGCTCTTCCCCTTCGCTTTCGGTGTGTGATGGATACCTTAATTGATCAGGATGGACAGCTGTGATATGTCTTTCTAGATCGTGTCTTCTCGAAAAAGATCTCGAGCAAGTCGCACATTGGTACTTTAAAATCAAATCAAAAAGTTCATGCTTCAATACCTCTTTTCTCTGATTCAAGTTTCCAAACACTCACAAATGGGTTACTCACCTCCCGTATATCTCTGTGAGTTAGCTCGTGAGCCTTACAATTATTTCGTCTAACAAATAATCTTCCACATGTACCACATGCCCATTTCTTCTCAAATTTAAAGATAGGATCATTATTAGGATTCAAACTCGGTAAAATTTCCAAGGCGATTCTTTCAACAGCAGTTGAAATGTCTCTGATCGAGCCAGCTGTTAAAATCGCAGTAGGAGCAGGTCCATCTTGGTGAGGTAGGAGAAGTGCAAATGGATTAGTGCTAGTTGAAGCTGATCTGGGTTCAACTAATAATGGATCAATTAGAAAGCCTTCTGACGACTCAGACAGTGTTCGATGATTATCAATAACTTTCGAATGACAAGGAAAGATCACATATATGAGCTTGAGCTTGATCCTCAATCGAGGATTTGAAAAGATGCTAACCTAAGATTCTAAGCTGTTGATCACTACCGGATTCATGGTGCTGTTGCCACTCTGGGCTTTCTAATTTCCTGATCTTGTTCGCCGTAGCATCGGTCAAGATGTGATCATTTGATTTCCTCTTGGGACTGACCGACGCAGTCTGGACGATAGTGATGGGTTGTGATGGTGATGATGAGGAAGACGATTCTTTCTCTAACATATGACCAGGATGGACCGAGTGAACATGTCTTTCTAGGTCATGTCGTCTTGTGAACCCTCGCGGACAAAGTCCGCAGCGATATTGAGCTCTCTGGAAAGGTTCGACCCGCAAAATCGTCAGGAACCCCCAAAGAAACAACAAATAATACACAGATAAATAGAATACTTACCTCGTTTAGATCGAGATGAGTACGCTCATGAGTGGTACAATTGAATCTCCTAGTGAATTCTCTATAGCAGATTCTACAAGCCCATTTTTTACCAACTCTGAGTGGAGTGAGCGAATGTTCGACCATCTCACTTGTTAACAGAGGCTGTTGTTTTGTAAGGGTGTTGGTTTGTGAAGTGTTATCGTCCGAAGCAGTACCATATGAGTATTTATTGAGAGATAGGAAGGCATGATTGATAGAATCTTCCTTGATGACCGATGAAGATTGAGTTGGGACAGCAAGAAAAGCGTCTTGCGAGTTGTTGATAGGATTGATATTAGATAGATTTGGGTCGATTGCCAGAGTATGGTTTGAGGAACTATGTTGAGGTTGATGAGTTGAATTGCTGAGGAGTGTTGAGCTTGAACCGATTGAAATGTCGATTTGGTCATGAGATTGACATTTGAGTTCATTGATAAGTTCATTGGATTGATGACTAAGCTGATGTGGTTCGTTCTGATTAAGCAATTGGTTTTTCAAATCACTAAGATCACTCTCAAGCTCGCTGATGCTTATTGAGTTAGTCAGATTTGTTGATGGTGCTTGTGACTGTTGAGCTTGCTGTGGCAGTTCTAGTGCCAGTCGCTGCGCCTGCTGCTGTAAAGTCATTTGAGTATTCGACGAAGTGACTGCGTCCATAATCACGAGTTCCTCAAGCCTCTATTTAAGAACGCTTTCGACTTCACTTTGTTCTTTTGTTTAACTTCACCAAGCTTGTCTACGTCGAAATTCAATTCACATCAGCTGGGAATCTAGCTGGGCACCGCAGTCGATGGATCTTGGATATCGATTTGACGGAAATGAGTTCTGGTGGAGATGAAAGATGGAGGGGAAAAGGGCTGTGAAGAGGGAAGCGCCGCAGTACTTACTGAACTATTGAAAGCTGTGTAGATGTGTGACAGGGGCTGTGATAGGCGATCGGATCTTCGGCCCCGAAGCACACCCGGTTTTCCGAAGATATTTGGGGAGGTTTGTCTTTTTTTCAAAACAACAAGCTCACTTCAAATGCGTTTGCACGATTTGACTTGTGATGTTGGTTATCCCATCAAGTACAGTTCAACTCAAGATCCGAAGAACCAACTGTGCTTAATGAAAGCTATACCTTAATGATCGTTGATTCCGTCCGTGGACCGTGAAGCGTAAATCAATACGAACATTTGATGCGTAAAAGGACATGCGGCAGAAACCAGTCTAGAGGATGTGAAGGCTTGTGAAGGTCATAGGCACTTGAGGTAGTATAAATATAATAGGAATTTCTCTCAAAGGCTCTCTACAAGCTACTTTTAATTTTGATGACTGAGAGAAATTGATGAGGAAACTTAGGAACTCCTCACCCCGTTTGTGTTGTAACTGAGTCATGAATACAAGAATGAGAAAACAACAAGGGTTACCGATGCGTTCAGCGTGTTGTGGTTAAATACCCTCTATCTGTTTTCATATCGTCACTTTCAATCATTCCTGTAACTCATGTTGAAAATGGGAAATCCAACAAGACTGCCCATTAGAAATGGAGACCAATCAAGCCCCAATTGCTTCCTTTTTTTTGATGACAGAAAATATTCTACTCTAATTCATAAATACTTTTGCAGACAATCCATACGAACTCCAATTTGTACGATGACGCATGGATCTCTGAGCAATGATTTGACGAAAATGCAACTTCGAACCCATTAGGTTTTTGGTTCTACAACACCAAGATTTGGAAACAATGAATGTAAGTTTCAAAGGTTCTTAAATAGATGCTCTGATCTTTGAAGTGACCACAAGCGTAAAACGGGAAAAAGATGGCTGCACTCTGACTGACTCTTGTGTCTAAAAATATTTTGAGGCGCATTCATTTGAAATATCCATCTTGGATCTGATTAATCATAACAAGTATGGTTGGTGCTATCCTATTACGCTTTTTGACCTTGAAAACATAGGCAGTCAATGTATTTGAGTTTGTGATATTGGGTTTGGGTAGCTCTGAGCATCTCAGGGCCTCTTACATATTCAACTTACATCTATCTAGACCTTGTCCATAGTCAACAGGAAAATTTACACTCAATCCTCTGTTGACAAAAAGGAGGAAGCAGTACACTTGAAGAAATCTTGAACAAGCAAAGGTAAGGCCCTCCTTCCATTCTCGGGAGTCGGAAGTGTCCCCAAACCACCCTGCACCACTATGTACTCCTGGAGAACCTATACTCGCCAATTCAAATCTAAGGCAATTTTTTTTCCAAGAACATCAACCCAAATTTTAATTTCCCCAGAATTCACTTCAGACAAACCCTCTCCCCCCTCAGAGAAATTAATATGAGACAGTCAAAACATAGACAAAACGTGATAAGGAACAACAAAGAAAAAATTGGTTCGAACATGAAATCGTTTACCAGAGTGAGTGGCATCTGAAGAGCCAGTACACCACGAACCCAACAAAAGTTGAGGAACGAGTTTCAAGAGGTTTCAAAAAAACCTGGCCCTAGCTTGACCAATACCCGGCGCACACCGCGGCTGGACCCGGGTTTCAAGTGGTTTTCAAAGTACAGGTGATCAACCACTGCGAAAGCGGTTGATCACCTGTACTTTAATCATGCCTCGAAAATACGTGGAGACGAGACCTTGTTCTCCCCTGATTTAATCATCAGCGGATGCATTGCAGGTCTTAATCTGCTTAACCACGGGAGAGCCCATCTTTTACCCTCAAAGACCAGAGGAAGAAAATTCATCATTCCCTTTCCGAAGGACGAATTTATTTGCTTTCACATCTTTCAACCTGAGCGGCCACAGATGTCTGGACGTCAATTGATTGCCGAATGTAACTCTTCTCAATGACAACCAACATCACGGCTTAATCTGACAAAGTTTGACCCTCCCAGGTTTCACAGAGACTCTTCGCGGGCCAGGAGACATTGTCTTCACTTGTTTGGCGTGTCCTGGAGGCCGATCTCTCCAAGAGGAATCGATTCCCAGGCATTGTAAAACCAAAAAACATCTCAAATGTCTCGACAGGTGGAAGGCCGAACGTATGAATGCCACCACAACTGTGACCTTCATTGAAGATGATGTAATCGATGGTTCACATCCTGCAAGTGACATGGATGGACATCTTGATGATGACATCAACATGAACTCACCAAATGCTGCCTCACCGGAGCCTGATGTGGTCGAGTTTGATGATCATGAACGCGAACTACGGCGTGGCGCTGTCATTGATCTTTGGGCACGCGATCATTCAAATCTCTTCGCATCTCCAGCTCCAGATTCTGCTCACAGTGCTACAGACAGCAGCAAAGACACAAATCGAGCAGATGAATCGACGGATGATGGCTGGGAGGATGAGGATGACGACTTGAACTCAGAACAATCTGAAGGAAAGCATGCAAATAATGCAAAGTCATCATCCTGGGCACCTTTCTCAAGTTTGGAGGTTGGAAGCTTTCAAATTATCTTGAAGACTATTCAAATCCATCATCTGATTTGATCCCTTCAACAGCAAATCGTTGCTCTTCTGATCCTAGGTTCATCCAGAACCATCATGTCACTGCTTCAGTATGAACGAGTCCGCTCCTTTGTCAGTCTCTTGAAAGTAAACTTCCAGCGTAT